TCCCTCTTCTATCCGCCTCCCACTCTCTCCCTATTTATTTCAAAACCCCCTTCCCCTCCCCCTTTTCTGATGAAGGGTCTAGGCCCGAAACGTCAGCCTCTCTGCTCCTATGATGCTGCTTGGCCTGCTGTGTTCATCCAGCCCTGCACCTTGTTGTCTCGGATTCTGCAGCATCTGCAGTTCCTACTATCTCTGAAGGAGTGTACTGTCGCTCTAGTCCTGTTACCTTATGGGTCACAACATAAAATTAAAAACATTTTCCAGTTATCAAGATCACAGATTCATTTTCTATATCGGGTTTTAAACAATGAGACCTTTTTTCCTTTCAACAAATTTTCTTAATGAACACAATTATGGGTTTATTATTGATATAAAATTTAATAAATACAGTATTTTTGACAGACGTAATGACATAGAAGTATAAATGCTTAACATGCAAAAACACACCCGCATGAGAAAAACAGAGAGAACAAAGATTTATCTGCAGAAATTGTCATTTTGGAAAAAGTTCTGAAACATAAATTGGCCAATGGGCTATTCTTGAAGGGGAAAGGATAACGTGTAGAATGTTCCAGATGTTCTTGCTCTGATGTTCTCGCACATGTGGTCAAGCCACTAACCAATCACAGTTGTTTCTGAAGTCTCCCTCAGAAGTACAATCTTGAGATATTCCTTCAAACATTCTTTCGAAAAAAAAACAGGTTTCACCCTGTGCTTAACAAGTTTTCTTTTCAGAAATGGGACCAATCAGCTGGGCCATTTGTTCTTTGCAGATTTTCATCCAACTCAGCTTGCTCTTCACAGAAATAAAAAAAAGAGCTTGAGAAATTCAGCAGGTCACGACAGGATCTGTGAAGAGAGAAATTGCATTTATGTTTCAAGTCCAGTATGATTCTCTTTTGGAATAGGCCAGTTCTTAGCAGGCTTTCATCCAACTCAACCAGTTAAAAAAAGAACCTTTCCAAACCAGTCACCATTCAAAATCTGCTCCACAGGGGTCTGCAGCAAAGCAAGCTGTTATGACCAGCCATGTAATTTACAGGAACAATTGTTAACAAAAATCCCCAATGTCTGTTGTGAACTTTCCATTTAATATTCCTTTAAAGAAACAATTCCAGCTACTTCCATGAAACTTGAAATGCATCAATTTTCCATAGACCTTCAAATGTAAGTCTTTCAAACAATATTAGTTCAAGAGGGCATTGAATGAATATTTAAATTATAATAATGTTCAAGAATATGGGGAAATAAGCAAGAGAATGGAGTTAATGGTAAGGTTCATTTGGAGGGCAGGTGCAAAGACAATAGTCTGAATGGCTTTCTTGTGTGCCATACCCTTCTATAATTAACTATAAAGCAACTTGGGAACACAGTCCTTCGGAAACCTGGGATGGTGTAACCTTCTGGACATTTACACTTTGAACATGGGTATTCTCAATTTGTGGATGTGTTGGAAACTTGCATATTGTTAGCATGTTGATTGGTTTCCTCGTGATCTCCACATCATTGTTCAAACTTATTTGTGTGTGTTTGTGTGTGTGTGTGTATGTATGTGTGTTGTTTACAACTGGAATATTCTACAGTTTTCTGAGCTGGATTCTATTTTTCCTGAATGTTGCTCCTTTCAGTCTTGTGACTTTACAGGAATGAAGCTCAGGATCCACTTCGAAATAGCGATATTTCCTGTGAAAAATGTAGGACCCTGATATTTTAATCCAATGTGCAAATTGGGCAGTTTTGCACCTACATATGGATCATGCATCTTCTTCATTCTCCCTTGTTTTTTGAGTTTGTCCCATGTCTCTGAGAACTTGGACAGGTGATGGTTTGGCTGGTTGTCCTAACTTACCTTCTAAACATGAATATTGCTGATTATGGTAAATCCATATCAAAAGGTGTAGCCGTTATTTGTAACATAGCAGTATGAAAATCATTTTGTCACTCCACACTTTACGATGTGTACTTTGAAGTCATGAGCACAGTTTGGTTCATGAACTTCGGCCAACAAAGTGGGAAAGCGAATACCATCACCAGATGACAAGACTCTAAGCATTTCCAATGCGTGTTGTTCTTGTGTTTTTGAAGAGAAAGCAAAGTTCTGCATTAGAAATACTTATTTGGCAGCCTTTGAACTCCATGCATTGCTTCCTGCAATCTGGAAACTGCTATTAGACTCTTGGATCCTTTGTCAATTAGGCATTTATAAATTACACCTTCTATCATGCAAATTCTTTCACTATGGACTGAGAGATAACTTTGTTTGAATAGAGAAAGCTTTGGGTTTATTTTATATTCAATACTTGACTATCCAATGTGTCATTTCTATAGCAGGCACTTTGATGACCCAATGCTGTTTACTGAGAAAAGTAATAAAGATCCAATTTACTAACATATTTTCTATTTAAACTAAAACTAAATGAGTTAGACTGTGAAAGTAGATTCTTGATCTTGCTCTCTGTGTGGGAACATTGCTTGACCTTTTTGTTTCTGTATCTGAGAGTTATCTGTTACCTGTCTTAAGTCAGAAATGGCAGGGACCCCATTAAGCCATCAAACAGATTTGTTATTCTTCTGTGTGTTAGCTTGAAAGTCCTCACTGGATAAATGGAATGGAATTAAATCTAGGCCTTTAGGCAGAACAAGAAAGTCTTCTCACAGTGGCACGACATGGTTGAGATTTATAGTACATTCACTGGAGGTGATTTTGACCCTAGTTGATAGTGTAAAATAGGAGAAAACAAATTAACAGTCTATTTATGGCTCTCCCCATTTTTTATTCCCATTCAAGCATCTGCCCTAAGGATGTTCCATGACCCCATAAACGATAAGTTGTGGACACTTCTAAAATGTGTATGAATCTACAATGACTTCATAAAAAGAAAGTACCTATGATTGTACAATAGCTTAAGAAAATATTCTTGATTGTGCAGTTATTTGTACAATGTCTTCAAAAATTGTGAAACAAAGCACTTTTTAAAAAAGAAAACAAATAATTCTTCAACTTCGTGAGAGCTGGATCTATTCCAATATTTTTAACTTTCAACACATGGAAGCAGATTTCAAGTGTTCTCTTGAACTAAAGAGTCAACCAGCTGACATCAATTGAATCAATCTTTATAATTAAGGGTATGCCATGCAATCTAACAGAAGACAATCAAAATTGATAATATTTGTTGCTGACATGAACATGTTCAGTCATTGTACCTGCTTGTGATAATGAAGATACTTCCAAATGATGTCACTGGGCATGAAAAAAGATTTGAAAGTAAGAGCTCCTCATGCTGTTAAAAATTAATATACAGCTTTCTGCTTAGCAGAAAATGATTGATACTATTTTTTGAAGTGCTTTATTATAACATTGTATAAGACTTCAAAATTACATTTCAACTGTTTATTTGCCTTAGATTGTAACCCCTGCTTAGAATTTATTGCCTAATGTAATAATTCCTTGCTATGTGTATTAAATATAGAAACACTTACCTCGACCTTTGTACCACATTAAGTGAGATGACTCTACCAAATCGATAGAAGTAAGAAATATTAACTGGAAAACTCAGAGTGAACGTATGCATGACCAAGAACTGTGTAGCAACTGCTTTTCACCAAGAGAGCTTTTCACTTTGAGAACTTGCATGTCTAAATGAGGATCAAAAATGAGTTCCTTGCAGAATCAAACAATGGATTTTCAATATGAGACTGTACAGAAGGAAAGTAAAGAACTAAAAATATACAAAATACTATGTGGGGTAAGTCATTGTCTAAAGGTACATGAAGATGATTTTCTTTGTTTTATTTCTCTCTTCTAAATTGTTTGAATGGATTTATTATATTTATTTCAATCCACACAGAACAATTACAAAGCCAAGAAGAGATTAGCTCACTCTCAATTTAATTTCTGCAAATATCACAATTTATAAAGAACAAAACTGAACAGTTTTTTAACTTAAAAATGTTGTTCTTGCTTTTTCTCATGTGATTGAACTTGACCAAATTATTCGATGTTATTTTAAATTGTTAATAATAATGTTTCAATTAACACAGTTGCATTTGCAGTGCTTGCTTAAACATTGCAATTGAGTTGATATTACAAATTTTGCTGAACCTCAAATATTCA